AAAGACCTTCCGCAATAAAAATCGCGACGCTTGTAGTGATGAAAGTGCACTCTCTCCGAGAGTAGGAGTAAGCCCTGCTGACGGACCAGGGTTAGAATGCATATCCACAGTCCAGCAGCTCATAGCGATAAAAATCGCGACGCTTGTAGTGATGAAAGTGCACTCTCTCCGAGAGTAGGAGTAAGCCCTGCTGACGGACCAGGGTTAGAATGCATATCCACAGTCCCCAGACACTGCGAAAGTGGGGTAGCATGCGCGATATTCGCACCACGGCACAAAAACTCAACGTTATGCATCATGTGGTCTTACTGAACAGGATGTTCTGCTACTCTGCCGCGACCCATGAGTGACGGACTGTATAGATATACAGAGCAAAGCTACACATTGTATCCCGCATATGGGGAGGGCATGACCGGATACTTCGATTGTCCGCCGTGGCGACTGCGCTTTTAACGATATATCGCCTTTTGGAGCGACTTCAGTCAAGTCTCTGTACAGCCCAAGACAAGATCATAGTTGTCTCCAATGGAAGTATCCCACGAATGCACGCTAAGCGAAGCACGCGGCCACGCCCTCTCAATCTCGGAGATATGGAGCGTGCCACTGAGTTCAATATAAAGAATATGAAGTTTTGTCTGGATGGTATTTTTACAAGATTTTGATAATGATAACGAAACAGTCTATCGGTACCTTTTCTGAGAATTGAGCGTAAAACCATTTATTACAATAAATAATCTCAATCATTATTAAGATACTGAACAATATTTGAATCTGAGTGTATAGACAACAAGCCAGGTAAATGGTGCTGAAAGAGATTCCGTCGGCATCTGGCGGTTAGTCAGATCAGTTAATCAAATATCATAACAATGAATTAGGAAGGAACATGTCAGCTACTGTAGTCAAGTAGTGGACACCAGCTGGGAGATGTATCTGGACATCGTGGACATATGTGGGGACGAAATTACGGAATAAGTTCGAAAGACTACGGTAGACACTGAAAAATGTCTGCTGAAGCGTTTTTAGGGCAAGATTCGAATGACACGAGACTAGGTAACGGTTCACAATGATATCACCAGTGGTCGTGAGCGGAGCATAGATACCATTTTCAATGACCTGTAAAAGTAGAAGCATCAGTTTCTGCACTTTACACTGCCAGTCGGAGGTTTTTCCCCACTTTTTCCTGCTCATTTTATACGACTACACTGCATAATCACTGCAAACGATAGGGCGTGTGACGCAGCGTGGATTGCAGGGACGACAGCCTTTTTCCACCAGTCATGCCATCCTGTTCACGCTACATCTGGTGAGAAATCTGCTCTGGCGAAGTTCTTAGCCACACCCCCATCACACGCCCTATAGTTTGCAGGGATCATGACGTGCATTGAAGGCACACCTTGTCACTGATCATAAAAATCAGAACTTCGAGGGCGCAAGGTGGTATGAGCCACGTTGGATAACCTTGCACTATTTTCGCGTCAGAAGCCCGCAATAGACGGGCTGAGACGTAAGGTTGCTCAGGAGGAGCCACATGAGTACATGAAACTCCTCCTCGCGTTGGTATCTGTCGTTCCCCCTTTTCTAGGTACGTGCTCAGCACCACAGAATAGTACCACTTTCATTTTTGATCAACTGTCGCATTACCGTAGGCAGCGCATTTAAGTTGTCAGAGGATTGCATCAGTACAGGTTACCTTGGAAATCGAAGTAATACGTCTTGGAATGAGATCCGAGTTGCCTGTTGTAACCTGCAAACACTGTCCTGCTCGAGCGTCTTTAGCAGCTGCCAGCTGAAGTGGGTCAGCACTACCGCAGTTGGTGAGGTATAAGAGATGATTCTCAGTGAGTTTGAGAGACTCTCCATGTTCCTGAAACAATACATGCCAGCATTACTCGATTTTCAGAAAATCACTACGGAAAATTTGAAGAGGACCCGCTCAAACTAAGCGCATCCTAATCCATTTTCGAATGATGTGCGCAGCCACGCCTACCGCATCTCCAGAAATGTGGAGTGTACATTAAGGGACTCACTGTATGAATATGCAGAAACACGGCACGCTCGTCTTCGAGTTTATGTAGAAACATGATCACCGGTGAAAATGTTACCTGAAAATAACAGGTTAGAGTGGAATATTAAAAACAAGGATTTAGGCATGGAGACCAACCATAAACTCGTCCACGCTCAGCACCATGTCTCCAACTTCCAGATCCTTGATCGCTTTCATGCCGGAAGGAGTCTCCACCTCAATAATAGCAATTAAATAATCATTTTTCTGAAGGGACCGAAATAAACAACGATTTTTGCGATCTTGGCGTTGCTTTGGTTTGACTGATTACCTCACAACTACTTACTAAACTGGAAAAGGTTTACCTCCATCTCACCACTGAAGCACTGCATTTGCTCAAAGATAGTATTGAGTCCTGGATTCTGGAACAGCAATGATTTGCATGTATAGTTTGTAACATTGCAGTTTGTCAGGGGCGGCGCGCAACGCGGCGCGAGCTCGTGTCCGGTTCCCTTGCTCTACCAAAGGTGACCGAGCAGTGATCGATGTAAGAAGGAATCAGGTAGGAATTTCCACCTCAGTCTTCCCACCACTGGTGGGAAGACTGAGGTGGGAAATGCTGATTGCGACCCGACAGATCGCGGTGATATAAACTGTAGCTACTAGTACACAGTCATGATCCCTGCAAAAGAAAGGAGTGTGACGGGGGCGTGAAATGGAGGGGTGCCAAGACGCATCTCCGTGAATGTTGCCATCCTGAGCCAGCAGCGACTGCGGACGAGGGAAAACTCACCCGTGCGCATACGCGGCGCGTTTGACGTCACTGCGGCGTCAGGGCGTAGCGAAGGGCAATGGCTTGCGCCTCCGCCACTGTGCTCCAATCAGCATCAATTATGTGGAAGGAAAAATAGGGGAAAAGGGAGAAAAAGAGGATCGAATAAATAGTTGGTGCTTACGAGTGATTTAGAGGTAGTGGTGAGCATTGGAAAAGTCTACTATCAAGGCGCATTACTTCAGTCAATGGCAAAACTGGCGAAATGGTCCCCTTCGATTGCGGAAACGACACCTCCTAAGCAAACGTTTTTAGGTGAGAATGACGAAGGTTTGGCAAATTGCCAACAGTTGGTTGTGACCGATAACATTATAACATTTGCGTAAAAGCTGTTTGCGTCGTTTTCGCCATTGAAGGGGACCATTTTGCCAGTTCCGAATGACTGAGGTAATTCCCCTAATAGTCGATTTTTCTGGAGTCTCTGCTCACCACTACTACTAGCTCACTTACGGCCATGCACTGCCTGTTCAATCCCCTTTTCCCCTCTCTCTTTTTTTCTCTTTTCCTCCCACATAAAAGCGGCTGCTTGAAGCACAGTGACGGAGGCGCAGGCCATCATCCTTCGCTCCGCCCTGCCGCCGCTGTGACGTCAGAAAACCGTGCCGCATACGCGCATGGGTGAGTTTTTCCACGGAGCCCAGCGACTAGCGGAAAGGGCCGTTCTGCTGCGATCCAACTCATGTCCCTTCACACGCCCTATCGCTTGCGCAAATGTCGCTGATGCACACTCTCTAGAAAAATCCCGCAAAAATTTTGATCCTTTTCTGAAACACAAAACTTGGCGCTAATGCAATCGGAACGCGGTCGTCAGGTGCTGTGGAATTGCATCGCACTAGTTCCTGACAAAAAAAAACGTTTCCAAAAAAGACGAAAAACTACGAACATAACCGCTGGCTGGGTAGTATGTGTAGTACTGTTGAGCTTGTGGAGCCGGTTGAAATGCCACTTGATGAACGCGAGGTGGTGGTGTTGCTTAAAAAGAATCGATCGATATTCATTCATCTGTACTAGGCTACTCATTTCTGAGCGCACTCTGTCGGTCACAATTGCATATAAAAGGCCTTCTGAAGCGCGTATGCGCTGCGCTTTACATGGTAACCTTTACATACGTAAAGCTGAGCTGTTATTTTCCTATAAATATCCGCCGCTGATCTTGAATAATGTCGGCTAATTATAACGATAAATGTAATAACTGTGACTGTAACCACTCATAATTGCACTTGGGTGCTAATTACTTTTGCCCTCGAGATTTCAAGCAACCGACTGAATGCGTTCACAAAGGATTCAAGCCTATCTTATGAAAGTTCTACTCGCCGAATTGAGGTTCACGTTGTTGTACGGCGAAGTTCTGTGTCTCTAAAATACTTTTTTCGGAGATTATTTTCAAATCTTATGAATTCGCAGTGACTGCTACAAGTCCAAAGGTAAACGAGTACGCGTGTCACTGTCGAATCGTTTTTCGAAACCGCTCTGCACATGAAGCAAGTCCCTAGCTCTGGGATTGCAGGAGTCACTACTAACCTATAGAGTAATTTGTGCTAACCGAACTGTGCAGTAATTTCACAACTCATGTCTGAGAGCAACTTAAAATGAACTAAACGGTGAAAGATCTCTGACTTGAAGGCAGGAGGCACGATAGCTGGGGGCGGCGGTTGCTGTCATCGTAACTGGTGGAAGGACTGAGTGAGCGGTGGCCAAACGCCTTCTCGCAGCCCTTCCACCAATGACGATTGGCGACAACCACCCACCCCAAACCATCGTTTCCCATTGCCTTGAAGAAGATGTGGACAAAGTCCGATGCAGAACCAAGGAAACTTAGATTCTAAGCCATAAAGAGTTCACTCGCCCATTTGAGGTTGGCGCTGCTGCACAAATGGATCCTGTTCATTTTCTGAAGTAAGTATTCAGAAATGATATTCCCTGAAGTATCTTTAGCGACGTTCACTAGATGGATAGATGGATGATTACTAAAAGCTCCGAGTCGAGCTAGGAGAACTTGTAATTGGTGAATTTTTCTGTAACCAATCGGAGCGCTTCAAGTCGTATGTATACTGTATTTAGTTCAAAGCATACAACCCATTTCACTACGGCAACATCCATACTCTCATGTACTCTAACATTCAATTTGGCAAAATGATTGCTGCGATTCAGTACAGCCCGTAGCTCGAAGATGGGGCGACGGCCCTCACAGTTCTTTGACTGAGAAAGCAGGCAAATATCTACCAACCGCTTGTGACTCACATTTAGCCACGTGAGCACGCCCTCCCTGTCTATGGGACATGAAGTATGTTCGTCTGCCCTGCTGAAAAAGGTGACTTCTACTCCAACGGAAATAACAAATAGGTATTCTCTGCTCTGCAGACGTTCAAGCCATGGACATACCTACCAAACTTACGCTTTTTAGTTTTGTAATGGAAAGGCCAGTAACGGTCACTTACGATATGCCGGAGCAGGTGCGTAGGTGACAGGTTCTCGGTAGGCTGGCACATACTGTGGTAGTTGCTGTGGTTGTTGGTAAGATGCTTGTGGTGTAAGGGTTTCGCCGATGGAATTAGACACTACCTGTAAGAGAACACTTTCAATAGATCAACTTTAAAGGTAGTATGACGTAGGCTGCTCAATCGCTAAAGACAAACTGTGTGACAACCTCCGTGGATCCTGTTCTTGGCTAGTTAGGGGTTGGTTATACTCGGGTGCCGTCTGCATACGCTTGAGCTGACTTAAGGCTAGCCACGCGCCTAATCGTAGCCAAACGCGCTACATGTGCTCTCATTTTTGGTTGTTCATTACTGCTGAGTGCGCGTTCCACTGCAATACCTTTGTGCCGACGTAAGTACTGCACCTTGTGGAAATTGCGGGTGGAGGTAGCACTCAAGTGCTGCAGACCCGTTCACAGGTTTTTACATTTTCTCTTCTTATTTAATGTCATTAATGTGTTAAATATTTGAATAATTGTTAGCAGAAGAAGAAAAAATAGGAAATCATGCTTGTGCTTGCAGTCGTGGTTTCTGCAGGCGATGGGCGTGACTGGTGAGAAACTGATCTGGGTGTGCTTTGAAGGCATAAGGCACAATAATTAGAACACGGTCTAATGTAACAGGGGTGCAATACAATGGGAAAATGGCGAAAAACGAATTGAGACGGTCGAAATCCTATAAGAAGGAGCCTTTGTTCTACCCGACTAAGAAAGCCATTTTGGACGAGTTTCCCGTTGGCAACCATCTCATATACACTCGCCATCCGGGGACTTGATTAGGGCGGCAAGGGTCGCGACGCGGCTGCGGCGTGTCACGAGCGCGGCGATCAGCTGTTTCCAGCCTATTTTAGCCATTTTCTCCCTAATTTACACTGTTATGGCTGCTTTTCTCGAGATTAGTTGTTCCTTGTCTTCACAAGGTAAATTATGATTGAGATTCCTCTGTTTTTTTTTGCGCACAATTAAACAGTTAGGCAGACAATTGAACAAACACCTGAAAAAATCGCAAAAACACTCTATTACAGAAACAGAAAAGACTCCACGCCCAAATAAAACAACTGGTCTTGAAAAATAGAGGAATACAATAAAAATTAGGGAGAAAATTCCAAATTAGGCTGGAAACAGCTGATCGCCGCGGTCGTGACGCGCCGCAGCCGCGTCGCGACCCTTGCCGCCCTAATCAAGTCCCCGGATGAGATTGTATCCGTGGAGTACCACAGTCGCTTCATATCCCTTCGCTTCATATTGTACTTCGCAAATGAAGCGATACGAGCATCAGCATCGGTCGGACATTTGTGGGCGGGCGGGCGCGGTGGGCGTCCGGGTCGGTATGTTGCAGCTTGATAGGGCGCTATAAGGGCACCTTCCTTGGAAAAGGCGTCACGCAATGCCTCATAAGAGGCGCCGGATTCTGTCCCGCTAGGAGTATTAATCCTACACATTTTGAGATTTATCGCGCCAATTGCCTTTAAGCCATGCCTCCGTCAGATGCCCTATCGTTTGCAGGGATCATGGCTGCAGAAATGGCCTGAAGCAGGAGTTTTTACGTGCACTCCCGGGAGTGCATGTCACCTCGAATCTGTTAAAGTGCATTGTCCAGCCAGATATGTCTGATAGAAATTCAGCGTGGAATGCTTTGTTTTGAACCAGATTTGGCTCCGCGGACCATGTAAGTGGTGTTTGCGGCCTTTAACCATAGATCCCCTCTGACTCCAAGGCATGATTGCTCCCGAGAATCTCTCCAAATCATTTTGCGAACTAATTGCCCATAAAAGATATTCACAATTGGCAGACCTGATTTAGGGCTTTTAGTAGTGCATTACAAAACGTAGTAGATCAAACAGACACTGAAGAAAAGCAGTAATCAAGTTTGCGAACCGATTCTGAAGAGGCAGAGGCGGGAACCTGCATCAAGTCCATTGTCCTAGAGTTGCTGTCGACCACCGTGAGATCCGGCTCAAACTAAACGAAGAGGTTATTTCTGGGAACCTGGCTTTTCATATACTCGCGGGACAGTGGTGGCCAAACGCCTGAAATCGCCAAGCCATTTGCACGTTCCCAGTGCCAAATCCGGTCGGGGCAGAGCGAGCCCTCATCTCCTCATTGATCCTTCGGATGTATCAGACTTTTCCGGAATGACTAATGCATCGAGCTCAACAGCGATTGAAAAAAGGAAAAAAATTAATGAAAACGAAAAATAATTGCCTACGTCAAATCGGACAAATGGGAAATATTGAGGGGGTCGGAAGCAAAGAGGTAACTCAAATCCCTTTTCGCATCATCCCCTGCTCTTAGACGGAAGCTGAGCAAAAAAAATAGTGATCTTTACATACTCCTAGGCCAAAGACAGTTGATGTCGCCACAATCAGTCCGGGCGATGCCACAAGGCATGGAAAGGCCTGTGCGCGGCGGTCTCTACCACTGCTTGTTTTTTTCCTGAATAGATCTGCAGAAAACGTAACAGCGAGCGAGCCCATTCCACATATCCTAGCACCGCCCCGAATGGTTACGACGATATCAGCTAAACGCATTCGATGATCTCTAGCAAGGCGGTCGAAGACATTGGCCGTAGTTCGCTGCGGACGGTTGGGCGTGTCAGGCGGGATGAGTATGGCGCGGTGCCGAACCCGTTCTCCAGCAGTTGAGCGAGCAACTATTGTAAATGTAGATTAAAAATGCAAATAAATGTCAATGAATTGCAGGCCTTCATAAATTTCGCACTTCAACGCGATTGTGGCTCCAAAGCCGTAAAAAGTCTTTGGATTATTGAGAAGGACGCTTAAGCCTTTTTTAGTCTCATGCTCGGTGGGAATGTGCGGCTTTCGAGGAAGATTTCACAAGCAGTATACAGTGAAGTTCGCTGCAGACGGTTGAGCGTGTCAGGCGGGATGAGTATGGCGCGGTGCCGAACCCGTTCTCCAGCCAGTTGAGCGAGCAAGTGATAT